TCAATTGTTACTTGTGGACGAAACATTGGTAAAATATAATTTGTTTTCGCATCAATAGAAAATGGTTGATTAATAGAAAATACATATAAACCAGCTACTTCTTCACCACGTGAAACTGATGGTGGTGGTGACCCTGTTGATAATTGTGCATGTGATATTGAATACATCACAGCATGTTCTCGAGCTTCATATCGTTCTGATCGATGTTGTTCAAACATACGTAAATTAATATCACCACCAAGAAGTTCAGCATGTTCAACATCAATTCTTGATTTACCATCATTTCGAATATCAGCCATAGCAATAATTATTGGACTTTTTGATTCTTCAAATAAACTTAATTGATAACGTGTTTTCCAATTAAGATTTGAACGTAAATAACTTAAATAAACAGCATCAGTTGTTTCATATGTAAAATTAACATAATATTTTGATTGAAATGGTTCATCTTCATAAATTATATCATTTGCTGGAACAGTCAGATAAACAGGATCTTTACTGATATCTTTATCAATAACTTTAACAAGATTTCGATTCTCATCAATCATTGTACCTTTAAGAAATTTTGTTTCTGTATGTGATGATGTTGGTGAACGTATATAAACTGGAAGATTACTCAATGATTTTTTCTTTTCAGTAATTGTTTGTTGTGTTACATTAACATTCGTACCAATAAGTGTCATTGAATCCGATCGTATATCAGCCCAATCTTCAGCAGAAAATTCAAGTGGTAATCTACCTAATGGTTGAATAATTTCAGCAAGATTTGAATAGATTTTAACATTTGAAAGTATACGATGATCAGTTGTATTTAATAATGAATGCTTTTTAAAATTTATTAAAGCATTTACAGTTACTAATTGTAATAACAAAAGAAGTTTCATATTGATCTGTATAATTGAATGGGTTAAATAGTAAATGAATGAGAAAGACAACGATATGTTGGCTATTTCTTTTTCTCTCTCTCTGATGCGATGTATTCGGATGATATCTTGCCCTTTTCATCGTCATGTTCACGTACAAAAAAATGAAACGAGCAAAGATGATCAATGATCAACACGTCGTGCTTTTGAAGTAGCAGACAACACGTGTGATTGATCAAAAATAAACATCGTACGTGCTGATCGATAAGAGATACTCATTACTGTCAGCACTTCATTTAGACCAGCTGAATTCTTTAATTCGAATAGTTATAGATACTTTCGCTTGAAACTTATTTACGATTATAGGAATATTTTTAATCATCAAAAGAGAACTGTATACATTAGAGATGAAGTAGTGCGCTTGCATTTTAAATAAAATATATAGATGGCGCTTTTTTTTAGAGGACTCTTTCTCATTGGTAAACCTTGTATCTAATAGAAACGTCTTTCTATTCACCTACTTACTTCTTAATAAAAAAAGGAATACGTACCGGTTCGATGAATTTCATAGTGGTTTTGTCTATAAATTTAAACATCATAGATGTTACATGTATTGTTTAAAAATGTATGAAATATTATTTTATTCTATTATAGATCTTAAAATTCAATAATAATAACTAATATGGGTGATGCTGATAGACATATTAAAATGGAAATTGATTACTCATCAGTTGTCGATCAAAAACTTAAAGAATGTGATGAGCTTATGAAAGTAAATTTAATATTTTTGTTTAAAAAAAATTTTCTTTTTAATCTTATTCAATTAGGATCCATCGAAATTAAACGAAGCACTTGATCGATTATTACCACTTGAAAAGCAAACACGTACTGTAAGAATTTCGAAAAAATTATCTTTTAATTAAAACAAAAAATATACGGTTTTTCTTCTAGGCAGCTGATGCGATTTCTACAGGACGTGTTCTTGTTGCTATTGTAAAATATTGCTATGCAGGAAAACAATGGGAATTATTAAATGAACATGTTGTTACATTATCCAAACGTCGTAGTCAATTGAAACAAGCCATTACAAAAATGGTACAAGAAGCTTATGAACTTGTCGAAAAAACACCTGATTTAGATACAAAATTGAAATTAATTGAAACACTTCGTAATGTTACTACAGGCAAAATTTTCGTAGAAAATGAACGTGCTCGATTAACAAAAAAATTATCTGATATTTATGAAAGTCAAGGTAAAACAAAAGAAGCCGCAGAAATTTTACAAGAACTTCAAGTAAATTTTTTTATATTTATTAATTAAGAATACTTTTATTTAATATATTATTTTCTATCTTTAGGTAGAAACTTATGGCACAATGGACCGTCGTGAAAAACTTGAATTTTTACTTGAACAAATGCGTTTATGTTTAGCTAAACATGATTATATTCGAACACAAATTATATCAAAAAAAATCAATATCAAATCTTTTGAAGATGAAGCATCACATGTAAATTTTCATAGCAAACAGTAGGGTTAAGATGATATATATCAGCGTTCAAAATGAGGCTACGTTCAGTCTCGAAATGGACACATTCAATGTCCGATTGAGAATTACAGCGTCATATTCTGATTCTCATTAATCTACTTTGATCAAGTTATAGATAGTTTTATGGTTAAACCTAATTTGATCGAAACATAAAAATATCGAATACAAAAGTGAGGGTATATGCGGCAATATAATAGTGTGGATGAGGGCGAAAGGTGTTTTCTTTCATTCTCAACATTTCTAATTATGCAGCATTTGGGTTTTCGACATTTTTGTTTTCGGCGTTATTAGAGGGAATCAGTTTTATACATAAGAGCAGAGTTCGTAGAAAGTCGCTTATGACTCTTTGACTTTGAAATTAATTTTCCATCGCTAAGTGTAGGACCGGTGGAACTATAGTCCCATCAAAGTAGATCATTAAGAATTGGAATATAACGTTGATCTTGAGATTAATCTAAGTGTGAAGTGAAACTTTGTTTGTTCTAACGAATAAGACTAGAGTTTGAGAAGTTTAATGTTTCCGAATCTAGTATACGCTCTGTAGAAGCGAACTAGGAAGATTATTCTAGTAATTTATAGATCATGAACCGAAAAAAATATATGAAGCCGAGTTATTTCCCTCGATATCCTCATTTGACTAAAGTACTATTTTAAATTTATTTAGGATTTAAAATTGAAATATTATGAATTAATGATTGAAATGGATTTACATGAAAAAAATTATTTTGATGTTTGTCAACATTATAAACATTATTATGATACACCACGTATAAAACAAGATGCAGAAAAAATGAAACAAGCATTAAAATATGTTGTACTTTATTTGGCTTTATCACCATATAATAATGAACAATCAGATTTTTTACATCGTTTATTTCTTGATAAAAATCTTGAACAAATTCCAAAATACAAGTATAAACAAAATGAAATAATCACTTGTTTTAAAAGTTTTTCTTTTTATTTACAGAGATTTATTACAACGTTTCAAAACTCAAGAAATTATTCATTGGAAAGATATACTTAAAAATTTTGAAAATGAACTTAAACATGGCAGTACAAATGAACCAGCAACAACTGTTTTTGCAAATACTGAAAATGGAAAAAAATGTTGGGAAGATTTTAAAGTTCGTGTAGTTGAACATAATATTCGTATTATGGCTAAATATTATACTCGTGTTCGTACACAAAAAATGGCTGATTTACTTGATTTAACTAAAGATGAAGCTGAACAATTTTTATCAAATCTTGTTTCAAATAAAACAATTATTGCCAAAATAGATCGTCTTCAAGATATAGTTACATTTCAACAAAAACAATCTCCACAAGAAATTCTTAATGAATGGTCGGTTAATCTTAATTCATTAATGACAATTATTAATAAAACATGTCATTTGATTAACAAAGAAGAAACAGTTCATGCTGTACGATCATAAAATAAAAACATATTTAAACAATAAGATTCACATTTTTCTGTTCGACATTGAAAATGTGATATTAAACTAATGTTTGCACTTTTTCTTTTTTTGTTGATCTTTCTTTTTCTTTTTTATTATCTTATTCTATATCTTCGCATAAGAAAAAAAACCGAAGAATAAACTAAACCTGTGCTCTCTAGATGACGATAACGTCTTATTTATTATTATATATTGTGGGTTCATTAGTATTATCTAGTAAGTCAGTAGGATATTTTTAATACAATGGTGAAGGAGATTATAATATAATTAATAGGTGATTCAAAAGTTTTTGCAAAATATCACTTCATTTTTTATCTATCATATTTGTTCAGAACCTTCCTTGAAAATATCTACGATGTCTTGCCTTGAAGTGAAGATCACATCTTTAGACGACACTAAAATATATCACATCCATAAATTGGAGAGAAAGAATTGAACAGAATAGATTTTTTTAATTTATAACATTATTTTAAAGGATCAAATGCTATTCAATGGCCAAAACCAATTACATATTCATCTTCATCTTCGGCTCAAGTTATTTCTGATTTAATTTCTCGAGTACTTGATAATGCTCCATCTGCTAAACTTTTTCAAGTTTCAATTCAACCAGATTTAGCTGTCAACGGTAAAGATGTTTTTGTACTTTCTAATGGATCAACATCAGGTTCAAT